CTGGAGTCGTACGTGGGTTTCCATGACTGCTTCTCTCCCCCCGCATCATTCAGGATGGGCATTTTGCTAGCTCTAATATAATAAAAACCTTAGTCTGTCTGTCCGTAGCTTTATGAGCGCTCTGCTTGGTTGTCTTGGCAGCCAATCATAATGCTCACTGAAACCACCTGAGTGCTCTGCAGGGACAGACACACACAGCAGAGTGGCACCATGACAATAGGGACTAAGGGGCCGGAGCACTGCTGGTCTGCCCCCGCCCCCCTCCCCCTCCTGGGCCCTGTTCCCTGGAGGCAGCGGCGGCATGGGGTGCTGACAGTGCAGCGCTGGCTTCAACCTCCACTCTGGCCTTGCCGCTGCATCCAACGGGTGGCCTTGGCTCCCCTCCCCTGGCCCTGCTCCTTGGAGGTGGCGGTGGTATGGGGTGCTGGTGGTGCAGCACTGGCCTTGCCCCCCCCACTCTGGTCTTCCTTCTGCATCCAAGGGGTGGTCTTGCCCCCCACTTCCCTGCTCCTTGAAGGAGGCGGTGGCGACACTGGCCATCTTCATCCCCACTATCATGGCAGCACTCCATCCCTGGCAGACAGGCTGATGGGGATGGACTGGCACAGCGGAGCATTGCCATGACAGAGGGGATGGAAGGTGGGGGAGGGGAGAGAGGCCAGTGCCACACTTCCAGCACCTCATGCCGCTGCCGCCTCCAGAGAGCAGAGCCGGGGGTGGCAGGGGGGAGGGCCAGGCCGCCCCTTGGATGTGGTGGCAGCACGGAGTGCTGGGAGCAGGATGGTGGGGCAACCTTCCCCCCTGTCCGGCTTCTGGCAGGTGGTGCAGGATGGTAGGTAGCAGCATTCTGTCCCTCCCCTCCCTCCCAGCAGAGAGAGGGAGGAGGCAGGTGAGAGGGGAGGAAGGGAGAGAGAGATGGGAGTGAGATGGGGTGGGGGCTTCTGTGGCAGCACCCCCCAGCTGCAATGCTCCCTTCCCCTGCTGCCACCACGGCCGCCACCCAGCTCCAACAACAAATGGAAGAGAGGGGGAGGCAACAGGGAGAGGGAGCAGGGAGGCAAGGGGGGGGATGTTGCGTGCTGCCAGACATGGACCGGCAGCTACACGGAGAATTGCGTGTCGATGGCCACCACTGCATGCAAGCGCCCCTCCCCCTGCTTTTCTTGGCGGTGTGGGGTGGAGCAGCAAGGGGTGGGGAGGGCACATGGGGGCACACTGGGAAAGGCAGGGGGGGCCCACAGGGCCAGATATGGGGGGTAGGGGGGGTGCAGGAGGCCAGAGGTGGAGAAGCAGCACCACGGGACGCTGGGTGGTGGCACTCCATCGCTGCCTGCCCCCCAGCCCCATCATTTATGACAGGCAATTTGCTAGTTTTTTATTAACATTCTTCTCATCCACATACCTGTAACAAAGTGAGTCCCATCAGATGTAATGTCCATCCCATTAATGGAACCTTTCACAGAGCCTTCCAGTTCTCTGATCACAGAACCATCAAATACCTCCCACCATCCAATCTAGAAACCAGACCAGCAAGGAAGTTCAGTTATACAGAATTAGCATGATGATTTCAATTGCTTCTGGAAGACATGTTTAGCACTGTCCACATTACATAAATCATAAGTAAAGTGTGGGACCCAGTGTCTGTTTTACCTAATGGGCCCTATTTTCCTAAAGGAAGGCTATGTTGGTTGGCAAGGCCTGCCATGATCACAGCCTGGCTCAGAGGTGTAACCGGCTAGTACTGCACCCTGGCCAATCCTCCCTCCCCTCCACCCTGCCTTTGCCCTTCCCCTGCAGCATCGTTGCAGTTCCTCTGGCTCTGACTCTGGAGGCTTTAGCAGCTGGGAGGACAGAACAGTGGTGGTGGTACAGGAGCAGCAGCTGGAGTTTGCTGCTGCTGAGGGGAGATGTCACCTCATTTTTTTGCCACCAACATGTATGTTGAGCAACCAAAAAGACGCTATTTTTTGGTAGCAAAAAAGAAGAGATGACATATTTCCTCAGCAGCAGGAGCTACGCTTCCCAGAATGCCCACTCTTACATACATGCATGCACTCATGCACACATGCACACACATACATAGCACCTCTTGTGACAAAAAACCTCTAGGGCCAGTGGCTTTAGCCCCTCTGTTAGGTTTTTTTTTTCCTTTTCCTTTTTCTTTGTCCTCTCACATGTCTGTCAACCTGGTTGCCCCAGGTTACTGAGTACGTGACCTGGCTCAGGTACAAGGGGGTGGATCTAGCCTCTCTATTGTTCTGAGTTCTGACCTCATGACATGGGGGCTAGACTTAACCTAATGTACCTCTGACAGGTAACGCTGATGCTTTTCAAATTGATTGGTCGGCATCAAATAACACCTGTCCCTAACTGGGCCCAGGTGGTGAGGTCAGAAAGGTTATAAACAGGGTCCCTCCATCTTGGGGTACAGGGACAGAGGCATCTTCTGGTCACTGAATCAGGCTGAAGCTGTGTAACTCCAAAATCCTCTGAACATTGCTGTAATTTATCTAAGTGGTCGCCAGTAAGTTAGATCTAAGTGTTCTAGACGCATGCTAAAAAGGTCAAAGAGTCTCTTACACTGTTTAGCTCAAGGCTATTTTTCTTCAAGGTTCCTTTTAACTTGTATTCCTTCCTTATGACCTCCCCCTCCAATCAATAAAGCTATCTATCATAGCAAGCCTGGCAGTAAATGTTTGAGAGGGATTGGGCAAGCCTTTTTGCTCCCTTTGCTTTAGTCTGTGCTTCAGGCTAAAGGAAGCACCCCAAGATCTCATGGTGGGTTAAGCACCCTCAAGATCTACCAGGCCTGTGTACCCTGGGGGGCACAGAACCCGAACAAAGACCAGACCCTGGGTGGTGGCAGCAGTTACCCCAGGCTTGCGGGTGTGCTCCAGGAAGGGGGTCAATCAGATGTAGGCACCCCAGGGGAGGCACTTGAGGCTTGGTATTTGGTTGGGTGCAGTGAGGAGGGTGGGAGGAGCACCCCTACTGGCCTGCCACACCCCTCTTTCCTTAGGCAGTACCTAAGGCTCATGCCCTACCTACTTACCCATCTTTATGCTCCTGGTCTGGCTTGATTCTGATTGGAAGCTGGACCCCCCAGTCAATGACAAAACTTGCTGCCATGCCCTTGGGTCTCTGAGTTACTTCAAGCTGACTTCCTGTGGTTTTACTTACATTTCTGTCTGTTCCACTTGTGATTATCTGGAACTCTTCAGGATGGTAACAAACACACTGGAACAAAGTGTGGGCCAGGATCATCTGATTCCTTATAAGACGTCTAGAAAATACCCCCAAAGCAGCTTGAGTCAGAGATTTATCCAAATTGATCACTCTGCCAGAGCTAACTTCATCTCCTGTGCACAGCAGACATCTCCTTTGCTCAGACAATGACATAATTTAGTCTGAGATTGGAGTTTTCTGAAGCCTGTTTCATTTTGGAACACAAATGAACTAAGCAGCATACCTACTCTCCCTAAGCTATTCCTCCTGTCTGTTCTATTCCCTACTGTGACTGGTTCATAAGAAATTGATGTATAAAGCAGGGATGGGTATCACAGTGGGAAAAAGCTTTCATTTCAGGACAGCATGTCTAGGGGAGAGCTTGTATCTTTAGGATACACTAGCTGGGTGGTGTCTTCTACCAAGACCTTCACAAGAACACCCTCTTCTTTTCTATGCATGCCATAGTTGAGAAGGGCTAAACTGCTGAATAAGGGTCATTTCCTTACACGAGATCCCAGATGATGCATGTTCCATCGAGGCTGGCTGTGATACACTCCAGGTTGTTCTTCTTAATCTTAATGCAAGACACAGCAGAGATGTGCTCCTTCAAAACTCCTCCTAGCTTGCGTGTGTTCTGGCCAATTTCCCACACCCTCACCTGAAAGCCACCAGTAAACAACATTGTAAGGCCTTCTTCTTATTGAGCTACAACTAGCTCAAAAGACACTTTTGATCTCTGGGTTCTGTGCATCTCTTTTAAGATTTGCTGAAGCTGAATGAAATACTGCATTTTTTCCACTTTCTTTAAAGTTATTGTTGGATCTGACCCCAAATCCTGAATTCAGGTCTCAGCAGTGTAGTCGACTGAATTCAGGAAAGCAATTCTTGAGCTTTAATCCCAGGGCTTGACTTTCAGCAATTACTTAACTGTGCCTCAGTTTATCCTCGACAAATCAGGAAAGACTGATACAGTACCTATGATGCTTCATAAGAGCACTGTGAAATCAAATCATACTGAAAATGAAGTAGACCTCAGTTTAGCTATTAAGTTCAAAGGAGCAGAATTTTGTCCTTTTGTGCTCTAAAGTTGTGTTTTGGAGAGCTGCCAAATTCCCATTAAGTAATGGAAAATGAACTTCCAAATCTCTCTGAAAGTTGCAGCCTTAGGGTTTGGATTATTGATTTTGATGGAAGTATTAACATTTCAGATTGCCTTTTTGCTTGAGTGATGTATATACTCCCTGCTGTTATCGGACCATCCTTCTAGCTTTAATTTTTTCTAGTACTTGTGCTGGTGGGAAACTGAGGCACAGAAAGACTAGGGGCCATATTTTCAATGGTACTGAGATGTTTAAGACACACTAAAATCAATGTAGCTATAAAGGTGAAGAAGATCAGCCCTTTGAAAACACTGGGATGCTGTTAAAATCTAACCCTCTGAATATGTCAATACAGCTGTCCCTGTGTTCCCAGGAAGGGATGGTGCTAAACATGCCCAACCCACCTGTTCAAATTCTGACTGGCTCGTTAAAGGTTGTTACCAGCTATAGTTATGAAAGCACAGCTATTTCACTGCATTACCTGCCCTTCACCTCCTCCACTGATGATCCTTTTACAATCACTTGTAGCAGCGATGGCTGTGACTCCCAAACTATGCGCATTGTCAATCACATACATCAATCGACCAGTCTCTGGTGTGAAGGCACGGATTTTCCCATCATTCCAAGCTGATGCAATAAAAAAACAATGAATCATGGCAGAACAACATCCTTCATACTACTGTACCCTCCCTAGGGTCCTCCTCTACACTGCCACTCTCAAGAACTGAATTGCAGTGGATCCTGTGCTCTTACTCTGCAGAAGGCAATGCTAGTGGATCTGTATAAATGGTTCTCCATCACCATGGCCTCAACATCCCTCAGCTGACTTTGGTATGAATTACTGTGAAGCTGGGCTCTATAACATGCTAGAGTTCATATCCTCTTCTGGCTCCCCAGATCTTGTTTCCCTCACACATCACTTCTGCTGTGCCTGAGGATCTCTACAGCTGAAATGCCTTTTGGCCAGTGGGATGAATCAAACAAGTTGAGTCTTTGGCCCTCCCCCATTCTATTCTAACTATGTTTATTAACATCCGAGAACAGTTTGGGACTGAAGCTAAATACAGAGGTCTCTGACCGTTACCTGAAATAATGCTTTTGCCATCCCTCATGAATTCAATGGCATGGCAAGTCATATTGGGGATAGTGATTCGTAAAAGCTCCCTGTTTTCTGGGGTGTGCCACACACGGATGTCACTCTTGGAGCAGGTAGCAAACAAGTCAGAAGTTCCCCTATGTAAGGCAGAGAAGCAAGTTAGTGAGGGGTAGTCACAGTTAGATGCATCCTTATTAGATCTTCATTTCCCCATTACAGCTAGGTGTTCTTTGTTTCTGATGTTTAACTGTAGTCTTCTCTGTAGGGGATACCACAGTTAATGATGAAAGACAATTTTCATTCTGTACTCTTAACTTTGTGACAAGTTCACCTTTTCGGATGGAACAATTTATGGGAAAGTTTAACTTAAGACACTACAACAGTGTAATATAACATGTGACATTGTCAAACACAAAACTGTAAGCGATGCCCATGGACCCAATAAAATCACTTTCAACAGCTGTGTTACTTGGATATTAGATGATATATTAGATGATGTTCAAAGTTTTGGATTAGAGATCGTGAATGCAGCCACATCTGCAAGGGTTGTTGGTTATAGCTGACATTGGTAGACAAGGTTCTTTAGGTAAATGTGATGTCTTTTATTAGACCAACTCAAATAGTCGGAAAAATTCTTCTTAGCAAGCTTTTGAGTATAAATGCCCTGTGTCAGGCTGAAAGCATCTGCAGTTGGTGTGTGCTCTTCCTGGATGGAATGAATGCCCATTCATATATATATATTTATATACATCATATGTATATATAGTCCATGATTTTTTGTATCCAGTAGGTTGATGAAGTTAAGTTCCTAGGCTTGTCTACGAAAGGTGTTTTGTAAATTCTCTTTGAGGATTAGAATTGAGAAATTGGAGAGAGACTGGTTGTTTTGTGAGATGTGGGCACCCACAAGTAGTTGTGTATTTTCGTCTTTGATAGATTTTCGACGTGCATTCATTCTGGTATGCAGTTGTTGTTTGGTTTCTCCCACATATTTTCCATCAGGGCATCTGGTGCACTGGATGAGATATATTACATTTCTGGAGGTGCAAGTATAAGATCCGGGAATGGTGATGGTTCTGTTATGGGTATAGTTACTGTGGAAATGGTGGAAATGTGTTGGAAGATTTTATATTTTTTCCCCCAGTATGGTCTAGATCCATTCAATGTGCTTTGGGCCATATGAATTTTGCTTCTGGTGATGAGGTTGGTGAATCTCTAATCTCTCAGGGAATTTACAAAATACCTTTCATAGATGAGCCTACAAACTTAACTTCAAAAATCTACTCAATACAAAAAATCATGGACTAAATATGACAGACATTGACTCTATGGCACATTATAACCTGCCTACCATCTGATAACCCCAGGTAACCTGTCTGCAATATTCTTCCCCCTTTCCTCCCCAACCCTACCCTTCTCTCACCTATTGTCTCACAGGGCTTCTGATCCCCCCGCCTGCCACGCTTTTGCATTTTCAAACCAGTATTTTGCATACTGGCTTCCATTCTACCTAGGAAAGAACACAAAGAAACAACTCTCCCTGTGCCTGAAAAGGGTGTTTGTACCAGAAAGAATAATTTTTCCAACTATCTAGTTGGTCTAATAAAAGATATCATATTTACCTAAAGAACCTTGTCTGCCGTATCTGCAAGTATCAGTACCACTTAAGACAATAAATGCAAGAAACATTGAAAGATGCATTGCATGCTAAGATATGGATTACTGAAGGATCTCCTGGCTTAGGAGTCATGGCATTTTCCCCAAGAGTATGGTATAGGGCAAGGGTTGGTAAACTACAGCCTGGGGGGCTGGATCCAGCGTGCAAAACCTTTGGATCCAGCTTGCAAATGTGGGAACTCAGTGGCAGGGGGCTTTGGCTGTGGGCTATGTTTCCATGCTGCCATAGAGACAAGTGTTAGCAGCAGCTGGGTCCTAGCACTCGCCCTTCTTTCTTACACAGGGTAAGTAATTCTGGCTTGCATCTGGAAAAACTTGTCTACCCCTGGTGTAGGGTGTTAACACTGCTGTTACACAAATTTGTGTAATTACAGTGCTTCAGTTTAAAATTCTTCCTGGAGGTTTGATCCATTACTTATTTGTCACTTCCTGAACAGCTTTCTAATTCAGCAACTAACCTGGCTGCACTGAAATGCTGGATGAAGTGACTCCTACATGCAAGTCAGAATGTACATTCTATGAGACTTTGGGAGTCGCCTGGCTAAAAAGTGTTGTACAAGTATCTCCACCTCCTCCCATCCTCCCCACACCTCATTTTTCAAGGGTAAAAAGGCTCTCCTTTACTTATCCTTACAGGGGAAAAATGATGTCATTAATTGCTTCGTTATGACAGGTGGCAATGCATTTCTCTTTAAACTCAGCGAAGTTAATTCGGTAAATCTGGGACTCTTCTGTTCCTGCAAAGAACTGATGACCTTGACCTCTGAGTGTCAAGGAAGTGACACCACCTTGGACCTGAATTTTCCTGTTAAAATAAAACAGAAGTTGGACCTGATTCTGGTTTTTCTTATATTCTTCTTCCTCCCCTCCTCTTGTATTTGGCTTCTACTTTGCCTTCATCCCCCACCATGCTCCATAACAAAAGGCAGGAGCCTTGTCAAGACCAACACTCCATTTCCTGTCAAATTCATTAGCACTTCATGTTATCCGTAGTACAGCACAGACTAAAAGCACAAGCACATACACACATTTCTTTGGAGCAGGTTGTAGATAACACACCTTTGCCTATTTTTTTTTTACTAAAGTGCACTTCAGTAGTATTTACCCAAGAGTATACCAGGCAGTTTAGATGTTTTGGGCTGTTTAAACCATATATTGCTAAGCTTTCAGAAGTGCCTACCTAAGTTGCCTATGCCAACAATGCAAAATGAGTAACTGCGTGCACAATCCTTGCAAAACTAAGGATGTTATCCTCCTGCTCCACTCAGCCTTGGTGAGACCACAGCTGGAGTACTGCGTCCAGTTCTGGGTGCTGCACTTCAGGAAGGATGTGGAGAAGTTCAAGAGTCCAAAGGAGGGCCATGCGCATGATTAGATGTCTGGAGAGCAAGTCATATGAGGAGAGGCTGAAAGGCATGGGACTGTTCAGCCTGGAGAAGAGAAGATTCAGAGGGGACATGGTGGCAGCCTAGAAACATATTACGGGCATACATCAGGGTCTGAGGGAATATCTGTTCACCAAGGCACCCCTGGGGAAGACAAGAAACAATGGGCACAAACTGATTGAAGATCGCTTCAGATTGGACATAAGGAGTAACTTCTTTACAAGCTGAGTGCTGAGAGTCTGGAACAGACTGTTGGTAAAGTCACCCACCCTGGGGATCTTCAAAAAGTGTCTTAATGCCCACTTTGCTGGGGTCATCTGACCCCAGAAGTCTTTCCTGCTCAGGATCTGATGATCTTGTAAGGGCCCTTCCAGACCCTAACATCTATGAATCTACAAATCACATAGTGGGGAATGATGCCAGCAATCATTCTGTTCTCTAATCACAGTAGAAGGGTCATAAGTAATTAGGCACACATTTGTATACACTCACTTATAAAGCTATTGACAAAGCCCTTTTTTAATCCAGTGTCCTCTTACAACTACTTGTTAACTTCGAGGGTCATAGCCTCAGCTGTTGTAAAATGGTGTAATTTCATTGACTTCAGAGGAGCTACACAAATCGACATCTATATAAATTATTTTAAATGAACTAGGAGTATTTAAATTAACATTTGCAAAGGAATAGAACAACTCTATGCAGTAGAGTCTTCAAGAGGAGACCGGACAGACACCCTGCTGGGATCATTTGATCTCAACAGTATTCCTGCCCAGAGCAGAGGGGTTGGACTCAATGATCTTTTAAGGTCCCTTCCAGCCCTTAATTTCTATGATTCTATATTTCAACCAGTGTCTACTTTATTTTATTGCCCTTTCAACAGTGTCTACTTTTGCTGAGAAAATCAAAAAACATGAGATTTCTCTGTTATTACTTAAAAAACATCAAAACTGGTATCTGGACTGTGCTCTGGAGTGTGTACATTACTGCCCCATTACATTGCCACTCTGCACCACTACATCCTTATGCTACTTCAGTCTACAGACTCACTTGATTGACTTGTAGTTTGAGCCTTTAAAGAGAGCTATAATCCCTCCTCCGGTGCCGACTACTAAATCTCCTGTCTTCAGCAAAAGCAAAGCTGTGACTCCCTAGGAGAAAACAGGATTAACACACAATTGTACTGAAGCGGCATCTCTTTATTGATGCAGCTGTGTTGAACAGCACAACAGAGTCTTTGCCATGCTCCCTGGGGCAGTCCTTACATCATTCAAATATTGCTCTATTAGTATGCCTCCACTGTGCCAGGTAAAAAGTAGTGTCTTCAAAATGAAAATGGAGAAAGCCTTTATTAGATATAGGTATATTAAAAGTCAGTGTAAAAATGTTAACATATAAACAAGGAAGCAATAGCATTGCGCCTACAGAGGTAGTAGAACAGAGTATGCATACACAACTTTACCTTATTGTAGCATTCTCTGTTAGTGACTAAATTCATTCTTTCAAAGCTTTTTTCCCCCATTTTAGTAACCCGTTTACTGACCCAGTAAATGTCAGTACATAAGAACTGACATTTACTGGGTCAGATCATAGGTCCATCAAGCGCAGTATCCCATCTCACACAGCAGCAGAGATGAGAGGGAGGAAACAGCATGACCAGAATTTCCCATCCCCTGCTTCTCCCCCATTGCAGTGTTCAGCAGCCAGAGGTTTAGGAACTTCTAATTTGGAGGCTGCACCCCAGTCTACCATGCTCCATATCTATTAATATACCTTTCCTCCAAGAATTGGCTTAGTCCCCTTTGAACTAGGTGAAGCTACCAGCCCCCACAACTTCCAGAGGCAACAAATTCCACAGGTTAATTACTTGGTGTGTGAAAAAGCATGTCGTTGTTACTTTTAAGCCTACTACCCAATACTTTCACCTCTGTCCCCTTATTCTAGCATTGTGAGAGACAGTAAATAATACATCTCTATTTACTTCATCTGCACCATTTACTATTTTGTAAACCTCTATCATGTTCCCCCTCAGGTATCTTTTTTCTAAGATGAAAATTCCTAGTCTATTTAGTTTCTTCTCATATGACAACTCCTCCATACCCCTGACCATCCTTGTTGCCCTACTGAAACAATTCAGCCCAAACTGTCTCCCCAAAAACTATTAGTTTTTTTTCTGCAGGACCCTACTTCCCAATGTGCCAGAGAACCATTTTCTTCTTCCTTGTGTGGAGGGTGGGGAGAATGAGCCAGTCTCAGTGGGCCTGTAGCAGGGAGCCCAAGGCACATTACTGAAAAGGGGAAGGCAGAGCAGGCTACCCTAGCTGTCTAGGTAGGCAGGCAGCTGAGACAAGGCTACTGGCACAGGAATTACCTGGGGAAGTAGTGCAGATTTCCAGGCAACCAGATAAAGGTTGCATGCAGACAGGCTAAGCTGCAGCATGAGGGCCACGCTGCCCATTAGATGGAAGGAGAAACCCGTGTCTGGGACTGGGGTGTCACCTGACCAAAGGGGACAGGGCTCCAGGGCAAATAAACCCAGCACCTGGAGGAAGGCACTCAATCAGGTCTGGTGCATTGCAGGGAACGGCTCCAGGAGACATCCTGGCAAGCATCAAAACACCCTGAGAGCAGAGAGGCAAGAGCTCAAGGGAAGGAGGGCTGGCAAGACCTTTTTACCTGGAGTGGGAGAGGTTTTGATTGAAAGCCGTGGTTTGCATTTTGTCTCAGTTTTATACTGGAGGACTGAGCTGTGGCTGTGGGGGAGGTATGGAGGCCACAGGGGTGCCTGAGGAGCACCCAGCTTAGAGCCTGGTCTGGATCATGGACTTGGGGGCAGGTGGGGGGGGACTAGAGCTTTGCCTGGGTCAGGGACCCCAGAGGCCCAGCCCCCAGGAGGGTAAGGACCAGGCCAGGGAGGCTGAAGCCCAACAGAGGCATTCAGGCCTGAGAGGGCTAAGTGTTGTGGTGGAGCCAGATGGCCTGATACTACATACCATCTGAGAGGCAAGGGCATGGCTAAGGGGGTAGACGGAGACCACAAACACAGTCCATAAGATGCCTGGTGTCCCAGGGCACCAATAGGGCCAGAAGAGCTGCAACAGATTGTTTGAAGGGCAAGTAGGCAGTGGAATGGGCCCACTCTGGGCCTTTGGGGCAGTCTCCCAAACTGTTTGGGCAACATCAAGATATGGCAGACAAAATAACAGGGAAAGTCCGCCTGAGTAATTGGACTGAGCAGCAGCCACATGTCTACCAGGGGGTGCCACAGCACCTCTGGGCACAGGTCCTGTCACATGGCCCTCAGGAATTGCTCAGCAAAGGGTTTCAATATGAGATGACACATTAGACCACCAAGGGTCCCTACTACCCTGGCAGAGAATGGGAAGAACTGGCTAAAGCACCAAACTGGAGACAGGAAATCAGCTGTCCCCCAAGGTATTCATCAGATCTTACTTTGTGTATTTTGGAAAGTCAGAATAGTTCTCTATGAGAAACTTGGGTTTTGTTTAAATAAAAACGTTTCTAGCCTTCACACTGGGTGTGTCTACACATCCACCAATGTGCAGTCCCTACTGTATTTTTAGTACTTGTATAATCAAGTATGAAATAATATGCAGTGCAGCAGCCTACTGCACATTTAGCACAATCGCATGCTTTTTCTGATGCATAATGCACAGTAGACTAAAACTACTCTGCATTAGCATATTTGCATGGTTTTTGCCATGTGCACTACTGTGCAGTAGAATTAATCTACTGCTCATTAAAGATATTGTAGGTGTGCCCACTGGTGATGGACAGCAAGGAAACATGACTTTTTAAAGGTCAAAAACCAGAAGGAATTTAAAGAACACAACATTTACTGGTTAAAAGGAAAGATTTTTGTAGTTGGTCTCCTGACTTTTGGGAACCACATTTCATGACTCCTGAACAAATGGTGTTGGCAATACGTGCACTGTCTATCTACAACTCCTGGTATTCCCAATGCATCTCTGAGGCAAATATTGGCTTGGCTCAACCACACTTGATTTTTAGGAGTAAACACAACTCCCAAACAGCAAGCCCACAAGTCCTTAGCCTGGAGAGGACTGAGGTTTAGTTATGGATGTGAGGAGAAGCCCAGCTAGAGACAGAAATAGTAAGGGAACTTTAATTTTTCATAATTTTTCACAACCTAGTGGGAAGCTGTAAGAGAAGAATCCAGACAATACAAATTACAGTGCACATAGTTTGAGTTTGGACACACTGCTTTTGTCCAGTTACCCAGATGAATGGAATCACTTGTATTAATACTAATCCTGCTTATGTCTTGTGGAAAACTTTTTAAAATTCTCTCCAAAGAGACAACCATCTATGTCACATTATTTGTGCTTCTTTTTGTTCAAAAAAGTACTAGTAAGCTGTTCTATGTTGTAGTCCTGTGCGTCAGCTCAGTAGCAATATTGGGGCTGCTGAAGTCTCTCCACCCATTCAGTTTTCATGGTCCAATATTTGCCAAGGTCCCACCTGGGTTGCTTGTGCCTCTAGCACCCAGGACTCCCAAGTATTCCACCATCTCAGTACCAGCCAGTACGAGGATTGGTTAGCCTCTAAAATCAGACAAAATTGGATGTATTCAATCTAGCATAGCTGTAAGCACAAGCAAACATCTGCATGGAAACACATTTCTAACCTAACCCAATCTAGCCTAAACAGACTTGTTTATTTCTAATGTGTTGATTGGTTTCAGTAGCTTCTCTCACTTGATGTCACAGCACTCTGACATCATGGACATCATGCCTAATTGTGGAATGTCTCACACACCAGATTTTATACCATCACCTAGAGAACAACAGCAGGAAGAAAGCCTGTTTTCATGTAAATGTTTTCAGCAAAAGAACAAAAACAAAGAAGGAAAATCAGAAAATATGATCCAGAAGCAGAACTGTTTCTAAACAGAATGTTTTTCAAAGTTTCCTATGAAGCATCAGCCGTTCTTTGAGTCCCCCGTTATCTGAGACCCATCAACTATGCTTTTGATCTACTACTGCACAGCTCTTCCTGTAAAAAAAGCTCAGTTTCAAATGCCCTTTGAGTTTAGAGTTATAGCAGGTGGTGGCACTACAAATCAAACCTGTAACTGTGGAGAACATACACAATTACAGCTCTTGACTATCTGCTAATAAATTTGCACTTTTATGGCCCTCTCTACACTACTTCAAGTTTCCTGCGTGTCATGTTTTAATTTCCCTAATTTGAGACTGAAGTTGATACCACAAATAGTGAAAATTAAGCGTCCTTAAATAGTCAGAACACATTGTTAGACATGCCAATATTGGCATTTGATTTCAACACTGCCTTTGTAAGTGGGCTCTTTTCCTGTCAAGGCTCTTCTCTGAATCATGAGTAGACAGCTGTATAATCTACTTGTGTTGTTCATGAAGCCAAGCAGCTCATATTAATAATGCAATAAATACTGTTTTATATCCTTTTGCAGATGAAATGCAAAGCATGGTGGAGGGGTTTAAATATCATCTTTTATTATTTACTTTTTACAAAAAGAAGGCCACTGCTTTGAAGTATACTGATTACAAAGAAAAATCACAAACCAAATCAAGCCAGTCCATCTCCTCAATGAGATCCTCTCCTTTCTGTACCATTGCAGTCTCTTCCAGACTTCTTTGCTACACTAAGGTCTTCCCCTTCAAGTTCTTTTAAAGACACTTCTCCAATGCAGACACTCCCAATATTTCTTAGACTGTCCTTGCCAGTCACACACCTCACTTCTTACCTGCTTTACAGATGCTACTAAACAAATGGAGTTTCTCTGCTTGGAGAAACCATGCAGACACAGGGTGAGAGTTCAAAAGACTTTTTAGAGTGTAGACCAAAATCTAAGCTGAGCTCTCCAGGAGGTTTTTTTTTCAGAGGGTGGTAATGTGAACTAAGGAAAGGTTTAACGTCACACCTGGGATAGAAAAGGTCTAGATTATTTCTTGTGTAAGCAAGAGGGGCAACATTATTGTTTTTGTTCTTCCATAAAGTGTGGCATGTCTTTGAGGTGCAGACCTTTCCTGCTGTGCTGCAGGAACTATGGCTCGTACTCCTCCCCAGTACAGACTGAAGGGTGGGACTGGAATGCATGGGGATTATGACGTACCTCATAAAGCGATGGGGTAAGTGCTTGAGGAGATCCAAGAGGAATTCTGAGGTGGAATCTGAACTCTGGTTGTGGTCGCAAAGCTCAGCACTTACACAGCTCTGACCTTTAATGGGGACACTGAGACTTGTGGCTACTAATCATGAAATCCTAGAAAAATGGGGAAGGAAGGAACTTCAAAAGGTCATCGAGTTCCTCCCCCAGCTAAAGGCTGAATCATCCTTATCTAAGCTATCCCAGACAAATATTTGGTAGAAATACCTATAATACTTCTTCCCCTTGCCCTATAGTAGTTTCTGGGATAGATTAGGCTGGCCTTATTTCTCCACTCCCAGAGGCCTTGGAGGTTACCAGAAACTGGACAAGTAAAAAGTGCATTCTGTTGTCTCAAGAAATAAGCTCTCCTCCTCCCTGATTGGGCACAGGAAAAGCGATAGGCACCATGCCTAAGGGAAGGTTATTTTCCTCTTTTCCCAACTGCATAGCAGAGAAGGAGAAAGGAAATTTCAAGCCAGCAAGAGAGGTGGAGTGGTGGCTGCCAGGACAGGTACATCAACTACCCAATCCCACTGAATGCCACTTGGAGAAATTCAAATAGCCAAATACTGCCCAATATTCAGCCAGTTCCACAACTGTTGTCTTCCAGTTTCTTATCCCCACTTTTTAGGTTCTATTCAATATAACTGTACACTTCAGGTGAAGTAAGCAACAAGTGAGCTAAACAGAGAGGAAGAAATACCTGCATGAGGCAATTCCTTTTTGTTTGTGAAAGGAGATCCCCTTGGGGCTTTAATTCTGCATGGCCAAAATCAGGAGTGTTTGCTTTTTTTTTTACCCTGGTTTGCCTGTATCTTTATCTTATATTGAATTTGATAAGAGAGAATCTGTGATAGCACAAGAGCTGTGGGCAAAACCCATCTCTGGGAATATACTGAGAAAGAACAGAATCTGAACCAGGTCTTTGAACTCAGTGCCAACTATACCCTTCATAAGGAACCAATAGCACAGAGCTGGGATTAGTTTTCTGAGTCAGATATGTGGAGGCTCTCCTAGAGGAAGGAATAATGTACCACTTTCACTTACTAACAAGAAGTGAAGGGGAAAGGGAGGCAGGGGAATAAACTGCATGAGAATCTGTTGGAGTTAATAAAAGTTAAAACACAACCCCATGGTTGCCACTCACCTGGCTGAACTTGTCCTTCATAGGTCCATAGTCACTCATAAGTTTGCTTTTTGTATTCAGTTTCAGGATGTCACCACTTGTAGTCCCAACATAGAAGTAACTATCATCATCTGCCATCTGGGGGAAGGTTTAAATAAGGAAAGCAGGATCAGCTATCTAGATTTATACCATGGGAAACTCTGTGATATATTAGTGGTTACATGTCAGTGTATTGCCAGGATTTCATTTGGACTGGTGTAAATGAAGTTTGTGTCCAGCACCACAAACAGATCTAGATCTCTGTTGAAGGTAAGACATTTTTCTAACTAAAACCTGATCATGCTTATGAACAAAAAAAGAATTTTTTGCATGCCAGAACTTCTGGCTAAAAGTCGGCCTGCTTCTTTTCAAAAACACTAAAAACCATTGCTTTGCTGGAGAAAAATATTATGGGGTACAGTCTCCAAGGTTTAATATTTTTACACTCATCATGGTGTTACAACTGATAAACATACCATCATTACAAATGGTTAGGATAACCTACAGGTCTATTGAGACATACTCAGCCTAACTATACATCTTTTGCTGAAACTTACCATGATACATGTGATCACTCTCTTGAGCTGCCCCGTTTGGCATTCAGTTGACCTGATTTTTCTGTTTAGTAAATCCAGTTCCCATACTCGAATGGTCCCACTGTAGCCAAAGAATACACATCACAATTGAATTCATACATGCACAAATCTCTGAGACCTTGGAATAATGCACTGCTGCAAAAAACCTTCAGTATGTTCTGCCTGGGGTCTATCATCTTGTTAATATAAAAGGAAAAAAGATACAATTCCAGATAAACAAACAAAAGAAAACAAAAAAAAAATCCATTGTATCTGTAAGATAAGTTTCTGATGACTTCCATCTGGTTGGCCAACAATAGCCCCAAAGTGCAGAAGTATATACTGTAGTCATGGGGACAAACCACCTCAGTATCTTCCCTTCCCCAGTTACACATACATGGGTGGGACCTTGTGCATTCTCTTAGTTCTGAATAGATTGGAAAATAAACTATCCAGGGCAATTCCAATAACTTTTCATTACTGCAACTTCACTGCAACCAGATATCACCACCATATCTATTACACAAAAATATTATATTAAAAGAATATCAATGCTGAAAAGTCAAGCACTCAAAATTTAAGAAATGCCAGAATTTAGACAGCATTTACAGCCTTAATTCAGTCTCCTTACCATCATGTGTTATGATGCAGGCTTAAAGTATATAAGCAGCTATGGGTTTTTGCCACAGGCTGCTGCCTCATTCATTGTACGACTATTATAATTATTTCACAGTACCAGTACATAAGACAAGATATCAATTAGAACTGTTCTACTGCTGAGACATTGTAACAGAGGGCATAAATACAGTTTCATTCTCTATTTCTACCTGCTAGCAGAGAACATAACTGAAGAGCTTGGATGGGGTTGTGAGGTGTTTACAGTGATAAAACAAAAAAAGAGTGCCACTAAAACACGACTGCCACTTTCTCTTTTCTCTTCCTTTACCCCACACTCTCTCCTTTACCCCACCTCTCACGGTGTCCTTTATTTTGTCCCATTCACAACCCATCTCTCCCCCTGTCATGTTCATTTTTTTTTTTGACCCATTTAGCAATCATTCAAAAAAGTCCGTTTCAATTTCTAATGGAAAAAAACCTACTAGAACCAACAAGATATGTGGATGGACTGACAAGCAAGAATATTTGGGCCACAGATCTTACTCTCAATATGCTTTTGTCTCCCTTTTTTTAATATGTTGTGTAAAACATCTAGCAATTCTGGGTGTCATGGCCGTGATTTTCAAGAGCACCCAAAAATCCCACTTATTTTAATAGAAGCTACAGGCTTTCAGCATCTTTGAAAACCAGGCCAGATACAAGTAATAATATATTCATCCTGCTGCAATGACAGATTTGCACTGAAGGGCTCTCACACTGTTGCAAGCCAGTGGCTAGAGGCTGCTGCTGGTATAGGTAAGAAATAAATTGTTGACTTGCAAGGTGCCACTATTCCTATATTAATAAGCTGTTGTTCAGAGTCATTTGCTGACTGCATTTCTCATGTAAACATTAGGAAGAACATATGGGGAATGAGTACAAACCCCTGCCAACAGCCACAAAAGTTGCACACTGCTCCTTGCATATACTGCTTTAAAAGCTTACGCCTATGTGTAGAACAAGCAGAAATACCTCCTGGGGACAAGCTGAGATAGTTAAAGACCCCTACAAAGCAATAAGAAAAACATTAACGCTGTTTCTTAAGTTTCCTGCCACCTAAATAAACAGTTTTTGTAAAAAGAAATATGTTTGTGAACTTTTGTCCCTCAGAAGCACTTTTTTCTCCTTGTGTAGACAAAATCTTACTTTCCAGCACTAACGAACATCTCATCTCTGCATCTGGAAAAAGCCAGGACAGTAGCATTTCCAGCACTTTGGGCTGAAGCAGGACTGCCACAGATGGCATCTCTCTTAGCTATGCTCCATACGACCACACTGCAAAACAGAGGAGATTAGGTTTCAGCTTATTTGAGTGGCTTGAAAACATCATAGATCAAAATGAGTCTGACCATCTTCCCAGCCTAGATGAATAAAGTGTTGGGGTCACTTTACAGATATTTTAACCAAGCGAAATTTTCAGTCATGTTATCTTATCTAATAGATATGTGTACTTACAATTCGTGCCCCTTCTTCATAAAGTAGTTTAATGATTAATGAGTTAATGGGCACTTGTCCCTCAGCATCTAATGACCATGATTCATGATTCAAATCATGTCTTCTGTTATCAGTAGAAATTGATTTGATGGGTCTAATTCTGTCCTCACCATAAAGACACTACCCCAAGGGTGTCAAACATATGGCTCAAATGGAACAGTTTCACCCAGCCTGTCAGTACTCTGGCAGGGTACTGGACATTGGGGGTGGGGCTACTGGGGTGTGGCCAGCTGCAGAGTTTGGGGTGCCTGGATATGGATGAACATGGCCATCAGCAGCAGGGGGTAAGCAAAGGCTGTGCAGACAGTGGTGATATGTCAGGCTTTCAAGCCTAATTTACTCTGAAATACCATGTTTTATTGAATAGAACACACCCCCTTTTCCCAGAATCCAGCCGCTGGAGATTGAAGTGGAGAGTATATGTGAGAAATATGGTAAGAGCAGGTTCTGCCATTTAAGGGTGAAACCAGAAGTAAAATCTACAGATCCACAGGAAGCAGAACAATGAGCAGGCTCAACTCCTTACCTACTTAGTTACTTAAAACAAGGACAAATCTTTTTGCATTGATTCTGACTTTGAAAAACATGGCATATATAATATTCCAGGGCATGCATATGTGAGAAAATATGGTGTGTGCTGTGTAGTCTGGGAGATGGTGTAAATGACACCAGCTTAGCCTCCCCTTGATTTTTGGTGCTTACTAGAAACAAGACGCACAACAGGACAAGGGGGTGAAGCGCTGGAGCCCAGCAGCTTGTTTCATCCTCAAATATGGAAGCTGTCTCTCTCTCACCTGGCCCACACCTTACAGGGCCAGTCAAATCAGGAAGGAGGAAGAATCAATATTTAAAGTTTCTTACTTGCCATCATCCTGGCCTCCCAGTGACACCAAATAAAGGTCATTTGGAGAGAAGGCCAGTTTTTCTACTTTTCCCTTGTGAAGTGACAGCCGGGCAAGCAGCTCTTTCTTCTCGTAGTCCCACAAAATGATATCTGCCTGAGATCCAAAGAACAAGGGGTCAGAACAAGAGTAGTATTCAGAATGTACTTTGGTGCTTTTGTAGCTAAGCACCACGATTCAAAGATGTCAGTCTAAAGAACATAAAAGCAGCCTTCTTTCCAGCCCGAGGCTCCAGAGGTTTAAGTACTGTTCAGATCAGTCCCACTCAGAGACACCAAATTTGTCACTTTAATGAATGTGTTTGATTTTAAAGTCAATGTAATGACAGGGCCAACAAGTGCTAAAAGAACATTTGAATTATATTTTAAAATTCTAATATAATAAAGGGCTTAGTCTGTCTGTCCGTGTGTCGGTCTGCCTGTAATTCTTTTGGGCAACTATGCATGCGTTGCCAAGGGGGCCGGCAGTGATTGGCTGCAGGGGCTCTGCCTCTTCAGGAAGGCAGGTGGGAGCCCTGCTGTTTCGTGGGAGGAGATGGAGGCAGGCGGCAGGGAAGGAGGAGCTGCTGCCACCTCCTCAAATGGAGGGAAGCCTGCTCTGCAGGAAGAGGCAGGAGGGTAGGCAGTGGGGAGGGAGCTGCTGCCACCACAGGCAGAGGGAAGCCCTGCTGCTCTATGGGAGGAGCCGGTGGTGGTGGACAGGCTGGGGAGAGGGAGCTGTCATTGCTGTCATCACCGCTTTCTCAGGTGGAGGGAAGCCCTGCTGCTCTGTGAGAGGAGGCGGAGGCGGGTGGGGGGCGGGAGAGGGAGCTGCTGTGCCGGAGGCTAGAGGAGGAGGTGGTGGAGGGACTGGTTACATGGCCAGCCCCAAAGGGTGAACAGGGAGTGGGGGGCATGTAAACACTCCCTGAAACACTTTCATTCATGATGTGCAATTGGCTAGTAGTATATAATGCTCCAGTCTCTTCCTTGCCCTTTTTAAAGAACAAATGTATTAAACTTCACTGAAACCCTGTGGATAGGCAAAAGTGAAGCACAAAGGTGAGATTTTCAAAATTGTTAGACATCTGAAGACGCAAATAGGTGCCTAGTGGGATTTCAAAATTGCTTAACGTAGAGGTACACTAATACATTAGTCCATATGGTATCAGCACCAATTAAAGGAAAATTGACATTATTGGCAATTGTTTTTTTTTTTTGGCTGATATGGTCAGTAATGTCACCAATAAATGCTACATGCATGTGTGTAGCCGCAGCATGCATACAGCCAGGAATGCAGGCTGGCAGCTTGGAGAGCAGTGTCTGGCCAGTAAGTCTGGTGGGGTGGGAGAGCGGGCAGATGTCAGGGGGCACTCAGGGATGCTGGGGGAGCAG